TTTAACTTCATTTAAGATTTGTTTCTGCTTTGAAAAGTGTCTGTTCATGTCCTATACCCACTTTTTAATGGGGTTATTTTTTTCTTGTAAATTTGTTTAAGTTCCTTGTAGATTCTGGATATTAGACCTTTGTCAGACAGATTACAAAAATTTTCTCACATGGTATAGGTTGTCTGTTCACTCCAATTACAGTTTCTTTTGCTGTACAGAAGCTCTTTAATTTAATTAGATACCATTTGTCAACTTCTGCTTTTGCTGCAATTGCTTTTGATGTTGTCATCATGAAATCTTTGCCTATGTCTGTGTTGTGAATGGTATTGCCTAGATTTACTTTTATGTTTTTATAATTTTGAGTTTTACATTTCAGCCTTTAATCCATCGTGGGTTGATTTTTGTATAAGGCGTAAGGAAGGGGTCCAATTTCAATTTTTCTGTATATAGCTAGCCAGTTTACCCAGTACCATTTATTAAATAGAGAATCCTTTCCCCAAGACTTTTGTCAGGTTTGTTGAAGATCAGATGGTTGTAGATGTGCAGTCTTATTTCTGAGATCTCTATTCTGTTCCATTGATCTATATGTCTGTTTTTCTCCCAGTACCATGCTGTTTTGGTTACTGCTGCCTTGTAGCAGAGTTTGAAGTTGGGTAGCATGATGTCTCCAACTTTGTTCTTTTTGCTTAGGATTGTCTTGGCTATATGGGCTCTTGGTTCCACATGAATTTTAAAGTAGTTTTTAAAAATTCTGTTAAGAATGTCAACAGTAGTTTAATGGGCATACACATGAATTTTAAAGTAGTTTTTTCTAATTCTATTAAGAATGTCAATGTAGTTTAATGGACATAGCACTGGATCTATAAATTACTTTGGGCAGTATGGCCATTTTCACGATATTGATTCTTCCTATCCATAAGCAAAGAGCGCTTTTCCATCTGTTTGTGCCCTCTCTTATTTCCTTGAGCAGTGGTTTGTAGTTCTCCCTTAGGAGGTTCTTTGTATTCCTAAGTATTTTATTCTTTGTAGCAACTGTGCATGGGAGTTTATTCATGATTTGGCTCTCTGCTTGTCTCTTGTTGATATATAGGAATGCTTGTGATTTTTACGTATTGATTTTTGTATTCTGAGACTTCGCTGAAGTTACTTATTGGCTTAAGAAGCTTTGGGGCTGAAATGATGGAGTTTTCTAAATAAAGTATCATGTCATTTGCAAACAGAGACAGTTTGACTTATTCTCTTCCTATTTCAATATACTTTATTTCTTTCTCTTGCCTGATTGCCCTGGCCAGAACTTCCAATACTATGTTGAATAGAAGTGGTAAGAAAGAGCATCCTTGTCTTGTGCTGGATTTCAAGGGGAATGCTTCCAGTTTTTGTCCATTCAGTATGATACTGGCTGTGGGTTTGTCAGAAATGACTCTTCAGACATTTCTCAAAAGAAGACATTTATACTGCCAAAAAACATATATATGTATTTAAAAAAAGCTCAACATCACTTAACATTAGAGAAATGCAAATAAAAATCACAATGAGATACCATCTCATGCCAGTCAGAGTGGCAATTATTAAAAATTCAAGAAACAGATGCTGGTGAGGGTGTAGAGAAATAGAAACACTTTTACACTGTTGGAGAGAACATAAATTAGTTCAACCAGTATGGAAGACAGTGCGAAAATTTATCAAAGACCTAGAACCAGAAATACCATTTGACTCAGCAATTTCATTACTGGGTATATACCCCCCAAAATATAAATCATTCTATTATAAATATATAAAGATACAGGCACACATATGTCCATTGCAGCACTATTCACAATAGCAAAGACATGGAATCAACCCAAATATCCATCAATGATAGACTGGGTAAAGAAAATGTTGTACATATACACCACAGAATACTATGCAGCCATAAAAAGGAAAGAGATCATGTCCTTCGCAGGGACAAGGATGGAGCTGGAAGCCATTATCCTCAGCAAACTAACAAAGAAACAGAAAACCAAACACTGCATGTTGGGAGCTGAACCATGAGAACATGGACACACAGAGGGGAACACCACACACGGGGACCTGGCAGGGAGATGGTGAGGAGGAGTCAGGATAAATAGCCAATGCATGCTGGGCTTAATAACTAGGTGATGGGTTGATAGGTACAGAAAACAACCATGGCACTTGTTAACTTATGTAACAAACCTGCACATCCTGCACATGTATCCTAGAACTTAAAACTAATTTTTTTTAAAGATTGGATTTTGTTATACTAGGAGTTTTTAAAACATAGTATGTTGCAGAAAAATGCATGTATCTCTGGTACTGAAAAATGAACTAGATAAAATAATGGATCCAGGGAAGGAAGGAAGAGGATGAGCAAGAGACAAATGGACAGCAGTTACCACTCAGTGTGATAAACTCCTCAATACACATTCATTAAAAGTACTACTCAGAATATTTTCTTCTTTATTTTTTGCTTATGAAGACTGCGTAATTTTATTTTTTAGCAATTTTTTATCCTAATCTTTCCTTTTCCTATTGCCACCATACCACTTCAGACTTTTATTTTATTAAACTGCTTTCCCTGTGTCAGACTTCTCATCCTTTTAGTTAACCCTTCTGCCAAATTAAGTTTTAAAAGTACAATTCTAATTAACTATGACTTGAAGACATTATTTAATGATCCTTTACCAATTACATATGCTATTATACCTACAGAATAAAGGATAAAAACTGAAGACAGTATTTACTGAGAGTCTAGAATAAACCAATTATTTTGTTCATCTCTCAGTAAACAGACATGTTGTTATTATTTCCACTTTACAGATTAGGTAGCAAAATTAAGTGTAGGTAATAAGTGGTGAGCCAATTAGGAAGTGGTGGACTTTAGATCTGAACCCATTTTTGTCACCATTATGCCATCGTGTTCTAGTCTCTTACTGTGGTTATCAGAGTCAACAGGTACTTTCTAGTTGGACAGAAACTTTGTGTCAGCAAACTAATGTCCAGACAGACAAAGACAACAAGGATTACTTTGTCTACTTCTATTTTACTGTTCATATCATTCCCCATACCTAGACTTCTACACTGCAATAATTAAAATTTTAATAATTTGTGCATCTTAAATGCCACTGCATCTTAAATGGCACTGCCATCTTTCTATTAAATCTTTCTCTTAGAGCCCCAAATGCATGACTACTTCTTCCTCTGAATTCCTATGGTACTAACTGACAATTTACCTATCAGGTCATGCTATTCATCACAGATTTCCTGAGTATTTGCTCTGTGCCAGGCATTGTGATAGGTCCTTGGAAATAAAAAGAAATATACACTATCATTTGCTTTGAAAAGCTATTAGTTATACCACATTAGAGTACTCATCATAGCCTGGCTGGCATTACAGGTACCACTTTAAGATCCTCATCAGTCCTTCCAGTTGTAAAAAATATGTAAAGTAGATAGATCTTGTTTTATTTATCTCTGTGTCCCTCTGAATAACTATAATATTGCATGGCACATAATGGAGACTTAAAAAGTATTTTCTAAAGATTGAATGATGACTGAACGATATATGATTCACATATTTTGAATTCTGTCTTCTAACTACTTCATAATCCCCTAGACTAAGTCAGGCTTCCCTTCCCTATACTCTCCCTAGTCCTCTCATAATGCTCCAAATAATCTCTATTAGAGTTAAATATCAACATTAAACATAGAAACACAGAAATATAGAGTTAAACATAATGAGGAAACTAAGGACCAGAAAGGTGATGTTACTGTTCTAGAGGCCACACTGCTTTTAATTAAGCAGAAACTAAAACCAAGACAGAATACAATGGATTTTATCCATTATATCATGCTGTCTCTAATAACTCAACACAGTTCAGTACTTCAATAAACACAAAAAAAGTTTATTCGTTTACTCAAATCTCATCTATAAAGAATTTCAATGTACATTTTAATGTTATTTTGAACAAATACTTAATTTGCTTTTTAATTTCATAATTAAATATAATTCATTATAAGTTAAATAGTTACATTTGGAAATAAAACCCTTTCACCAAAATATGTCCTGCACCATTCACATTCTACATGCTCCATCTCACTTTTGTATGTATTAGAAAAAGATTTTAATAATTTATGTATAAATGAGTACAGAAACAGAAAAAGGTATTAAGCAGAATGAAGAGCCTATATAAAGTTATTTTTATTCCCTTAAGAACAGGGCTTGCTAAAGACAAGTGTAAGGAAAACTAGTTAATATTCTTGTGAGATTAATACTTTATTCTTGTGAGATTAACTGAAGATTATAATTTTCACAAATTTAATGGTATATTTTGACTGTATATCTTAATAATGGCAATAGATGTTTAAACTCATAAGACTTAAGGTACTAGAAGTAAAATGTTTAAAAAATTTAAATAATCTTTTAACTGAAAATTAAACTAGAAGAAACATTTTAACTGCCACAAGATTCTCAAAATGTTATTATTCAAAAAGAAAATCAATTAAAGTTTTATGAGCTGTTGTTTATAATTCTAATATCTTTGAAATCCTCAATATGCAAAGTTTATCGGAAACTATGAATGCATCAAATGATACACAAGTGCTTCCAAATAATGTTCCAGGCCGGGTGCAGTGGCTTACCTGTATAATCCCAGTACTTTGGGAGGCTGAGACAGGTGGATCATGAGGTCTGGAGCCTGAGACTAGTCTAGCTAATATAGTGAAACCCTGTCTCTACTAAAAAAAATATAGAAAATTAGCACGGTGTGGTGGCAGGCACCTGTAGTTCCAGCTGCCTGGGAGGCTAAGGCAGGAGAATCACTTGAACCCAGGAGGCAGAGATTGCAGTGAGCCGAGATCGTGCCACTGCACTTCAGCCCAGGCAACAGTGCAAGACTCCGTCTCAAAGAAAAAAATAAAATAAATAATAATAATATTACAAGTAAGATTTGATGTATAGAATTAGGCAAAAGTGAAAAGAGCAATAAATTACCAACATTTAAAAGTCTTACCTATTAATATCCTGTTCTTCTTGATGCCACTTTTTACTTCATCATCAATCAAATCAGTAAGCACTTGACACATGACATCAATTGATTCAAGGTGTTCTGGGCAGTCATTGGATATTTTAAATCTGTCAAACCATACATTGGAGATTCCTCCTTTCATAGGAGTATAGGATCTATTTAGCAACCGCCCCCCAAAAAAGAGAAGAAAGGAAAAGGAAATATGAAAATGGATGCTTTAATTCCCAAAAATTAGTGTTTTGAATAAATGATTTCAATTTCCTCTAAGTTTTATACATTCAATGCATATTAAAAATACTGTCATGTAGACTGCATTAATTATCCTATACTTATATTTAATCCATTAAAATTTACTGATGTCCGTTCGTATCATCTTTACTTACTCCCTCCATCTTTTAAGAGGTAGAACAGTTACAGTACCAGTGAATCTTAACCCATTCATTGTATATTCATGCTCTGGAATACTATGTTGATTTTTTTTTAAATACACACACTTACATGCACAGACATACACACCATCAAGATATTCCAAGTTGTAATGGAGTAAAGGGGGTCCTGTGTTCAAGTACTATGTTTGTAGACGTAAATAAAAGGTAAACAAAAAAAATCTCAGAGATTTCTGTGGGCAAACACAGAGAGGCACAAGGGATACAATAGAAAAACACAGAGAACAAATGTTTTCCAAACATTTGTAAAACAGAAGAGTTGTACAAAAGATAATGGTTATTCCTTGGCAAGCCCTGCTTTCTCCTCATGTAATAATGAAAAATAGAGTGCCACAGAAAACATAACCAGTGACAAAAGTACCCATAGCAATTTGAAAGAACTCTAAACCAATGACAAGTAACATTTCCCTTTGATGAACACAGACACAGGATTCTTCCCATACCAATACCTGCACTACTTTGCCATCTCAAATTTAGCTGTATACTGTCACCTACCAAAGTTAGTGAAGTAAAAGCATAAAAAATGGGCAGCTAAATTGAGAAAGAAAAATAGAGGGATAAAAGACAACAGGTGAGACCTGAATGTGCTTTTGTACTTCTTCTCTAGTGAAAAACCGAAGTAAAACCTCAGCAAATCCAAGGAGCTAGAAATATTCAATTGTCATTGGCCTTGGAATGCATACAATCTTTAGGACTCATGGGTGGTACTGGAAGGGAATAGAATTACATCATTTTTCTATATTGATCATAACACTCCAAAATAAATGGACATCCACTAAAGGAGGTTGGGCATCAAGCTCCTTGGAATATTTGGAAAGTTTCTCAGGGAAACTGAAGAAGAAACCTGGAAACAAGAAAGTTGTGCTGACTAAAATTTAACAAAAATTCATATACAGGGTATCTTTTATTTACTCAAATAGAATCATATAAATATTACTTTGTAACATGTTTTCTAAAAAATTTAAACAGATATGATTAATACCTCTGAAAGTCAGTACATAAAAACTTTGTTTTCCTTAAGTTTATGCAGATAAATGTTTAAGATATGAAATTATATATATACATATATACATTGTTTAGATACTTTAAATATAAATCTTATTCATTTTTTACCCACCTCTCCATTCCTCCTCTTCTCTCCAACTCCCTCACACATCTTGTCCTTTATATTTGGTAAATGGTGTAAATAATCTGAAATGTATTCTTCAATGTTTTTCTTACACATTATAAACATGCATATTTACAGGCTATTTCTTGCAGCACTATTTGCTTTTCAAGAATAAAGTAGCCTATCTGCTTCTCTTATGTACATCATGCTTTGTTCCTTCAACAATTTCTTATGGAAATCCTTCCATCAGATATAATGCTAACTTACTCTTTTAATGGCTATATTATACCCTATGATAAGAATATTCCACAATTTAATCAGCCATTCCCCAACTAATGGGCATTAATTTGGTACATAGCTTTTAGCCACTAAAAACAATGCTTCATTAAACATATACATGCATGTTTTTATCTACTGGAGCTTTTATTCCTATGGAAGTCAAGAAGTAGGTTGGATTAAAAGGTACAATTTTTGTCTTAATAGATGTCTCAAAGTTGCTTCCATAAAAGTTGTAAAAATTCACCTTTCTACAAGAAAGGTAGTGAAATGTCCTTTTGCCCAGAGAAATAATAGCAGTAGGTACTGACATATATTAAAATGTTACCATTTAAGAGTATCAACTGAAGTTTTAAAATAAACTTCATTGAGGTATAATTTACATATATATTTAAACTATATTGAATTACACACATTTTAAGCATATAGTTCAGTTACTTTTTACAATGCAACCACCATATCCACAATAATACAGAACATTCCTTTTCCTCGAAAAATTCCATCATGCCCCTTCACAAGAAACTCCTATAAACCTCCCAGGCAACTAATTGAGTCTATCAATACTGATTTCTTTTGCCTGTTCTAAAACTCCACACAAGTGGAAATGCTGATTGATGTCATTTGCTATTTTTTTTCTTATTGGGGTTTCAATTTTTTTTCTTGTTTAAAAGAGTATTTTGTCTATTATTAACAAATATTTGTTACATTTATTTCAAGTATTTTCATCCAAGTCTATTTTGAATATTAATATTGTTATTACATATTTAAGGGTTTTTTTTTTGGTCTGGATAAAAGGCTCTACATTTGACATAATGTCATTCAAAAAAATTAAATTTCTGGGTCTCCAGATTTGCTTAGGAAGCGCCTAACAATCCATACATGTTTTTATATATGGAAGCCCAGATTTTCTTTTAAGATTTTTGTTTTCAGTTTTACATATAAGCCTTGAATTTTGGGGGTATTTCATAAATGGAGTAACCTAAGGATTCAAATTCATTTATCCCATAGGATAGTCAATTGTGCTTGTGCTATTTAAAGAAAGACAGAGAAAGGGAGGGAGGGAGGAAGACACCCTTCTCAGAGAACAGTGAAATTTTAGCTTTGCCACATAATAGTTCTGCGTTATCTAGTCTCCTTAAACCTGGCTTCTGTGAGAGAATTAAGGCACCTAAGACATACGCTATATATAATGAACTGACTTCCCTCTAAAAGTCTAGAATGGTACTAGATCTGTATCTTACTTGTAGCGGGTAAACAGTCACTCCAACAATTTTCTATGTTTTGTGATTAAGCTGAAGTGCTTTTGTTGAGAATGGATCTATTTTGTTCCACTAATCTATTTATCTATTAAGTTAGCATCACATTAATCATATTACAGTGGTTTTAGAGCATGTTTCGAAGTTGTGTAAGGTAAGTACCCCTCTCCTTACCATCGTTACTACTAGTCTGTGTTTTCATACTTGCCCTAGCTATTCTCAGGCATCTATTGTTCTTCATTATTAAATAAATTAATCAAAAAATTTAGTAAATTTTAAAATACTTTAAAGTAATTATCCTTAAAAAATTCTTTTGGAATTTTAATTAATATGGCATTATTGTCTGAGAGTTAACATTTTATGACATAAAGCTGTGAGAAGGGCAGATTTTTGCAGACTGAGCTTCTCCTTCATTGCTTTTTATCCAGGCTCTCAACTGGTGCAGAAAAGATAAAATCTTGCACCAACTCTATGCTAGGACTCCTACGGAGCCTAAATTATGTCATAACCCCATATGCCTCTGACCCCAGAAGCTGTGTGGCTCTAGCAAGGTAGATAAATTGGAATCAGAAGGGGAGAGAAGGCAGAAAGCATTCAAACCTCCTCCTCCCAAAATCCGTTCTCGAAATTAGCTAGCTTCTTAAAGTACTCTGAAAATGAGAGTAGGTGCTTTCCAAATAGTCATTGTCAGACAAAATGAAACACCAAATTGTAGTTAAACTGTCACTAAAATCACAGTGAAATTCTAAATCAAAATATCAAAAATACAACACTCACTGTGAAATTCAAATGAGACTATTACCCTTTTGAATTGTTTCTACCTCCCTTTTCATTTTATTCTGCTATTTCTGTGAGTGTTTATTTGTCTGTATAAATACTTAAATAAGGATGATATCATAGGCTAAAATGTGAATCATTCTGGGAACTCAGCCATTAATGGAAAAAAGTGATGTTCACTTAACTTTTTTCTTTGACAATGCCTTAATTAGAGATAGATGCTCAGTAGAGGTAAGAATCCCAGTGTAAGTATTTTACTAATGTGGTAGCTAAGAAAATTAAAATTCTATTCAAAGAGAATATTTGGAAAATTTAATGAGTCAAAAAATAATTTAGAACTCTTTTGCTAAGAAAGCATAACCAAGAATGTATAAATCCCCTAAAATGTTAGAATAACATTTAAATAAAACATAAAGGTTTTTTAAACAGCTAAAAACTGTCACATATGTTATACTCATTCACCTTCTTCCCCAAATAAATCACTTTATTAGCTGGTATAAAACTCCTCAGACATTACCACAATAAATAAATATGTTTGGCAAAGAACATCTGTGTGGTTCCTAAGTCAATCAATCAATCAATCAATCAATCAATCAACCTATTACATATTTGTAAAATATTAAGCTAGAATAAAATGTCCAAGGTTAAAAAAAAAAAAAGGAGTTGACACTCGGCTTGATACCAAGTTGTTCTGATCTGTGTTGCCTTATAGTCATAAAATCAAAAGGTCATTCATAACCTTTAAGATAACAAATTGGCACCAGTCTTCCTCTTCGTCCTCATTTCACACCACTTCTCCCAGCATTCACTAGGTTCTAGTCACATCTGTCACTTCATTTTCTTCAAATACAACAAGCTCATTATTGAGTGGCTTTGCATCTGATATCCCCACTACTTAGAACGCTCTTGACAACATTTCTGCATGGTGGCTCCCACTGTCCATTTAGGTTCAGCTCAAGAGTCACCTTTCCAGGGGAGTTTCTTTGACTTTCCAACTAAAAGTATACCTCCCTTTTATCCAGCAATATACACATATACTCTCTATTCCATTGTTCTATTTAACAGTTTTAATACATTTATCACTATTTGAAATTGCTACATTTAATTTCCGTTTATTTTGTCTCTACATGAGCTCACTGAGAGCAGGGACTTTATCCTTTCTACAGATACTGTCCCAGTGCTAAGAATAAAGCCCAACATAGAACAGATGCTAAATATTTGCTGAATAAATTTCAGTAATCATTTGTATCACTTGGGAATAATTTGTGTCAGGTGGAAATAACAATGTCTAA